GTACGCTTCAGGGTTCGTAATGCACGGCAGTTCATAAATAGGGGGAAATAGCAGTTTATTGCTGGAGTTGCTTGGGCGAGGGGTAGTCGTTAGGTCATCATGATGGCGCTCATCAAATGGAGCAATGTCCCTCCAAGTACACATTTGTTTTTGTCTACTCTTTTGTAAACGCTCTAGCTTTTTTGGTTCGATTCTCCCGTAAGAGATGCAGTGGCAAAATTTCTCACCTCTCTTCTTGTTTTTCATCTTTAAGTAAATTGTCAATGAATCTTGGTCTCTAAAATTTCACTTCTGGTTTCTCGCTAACCGCCACCACGCCACCAGATAATGTTTCTTTGCTTGTTTGGAATCAGTACTCTTAAATTGTGAAACTTGGCGCCCGCTTTTTGTCTTCTGTTCTCTGTTCAGCTGTCGTATACTGTTACGAAGTTGAAGTTTATAAAATTCCTTGTGTTTCTTCCATCAAACACTTTTTTATTCCAGGTGATTTGATCCGACGAAGTCTCAACACTACACCGGATTCAATAAACAATGCAGGTGCCAAGAACTGCGTTTCAGTAAAGCCACAAGTTCCTGCTTGAATTCAATGTTGTCTGGATGAATGATGATCGAATTATCACTCGCTCGATAGTCAATCTTTCCCTGACAATCCTCGATCTTCAACTTGCTCGTGAACTTTTTCATGTACCACTGTAATTCGTGCTGTAGATGACGTATTAATCAGCATATCGGTGCAATTCTAAAGTGGACTATTGAGTTTGTTTGGCCTTATTGTATGTACTTTCCATAAACATCAAATAAAAGAGTAAGCTCACAATTGTTCTAACTACGTCAGCAGAATTGGAACTAATCCCGTGTGATCATGTCGTCTAGCTGTTGCTTTGTTTACGCGCAAACAAAGCAACCCACCGAACAGAACTACATTAAACTTTAATTTTGTGTAAAATCTGCTCACCAGAAGACAATGATTGTGATAAAAAATTCCGCTATAACAAGAAACAGGCTGCTTGTCGTGATCGAGGAAGTAGAGGCGTTCTACATTATATTATTAACCAGACTGACC